CTGGGGGGCAACTCTGCTTGGCAAAACCAGCAGCATGACCCAATTATCTTCTGAACTTTGTCTGTAAGGGATGAATTCTTTCTACCGACCACCAATGTGGGGGACATTTTCCCCACTGACCGCTGATGAATTGGTTTTGGTAAAGGTTCTCGTGGGGGACTAGAAGGTTATATTAGAGGGTTGCTCTGGAAGAAAAAGGTTGCGAAAGGCTGCTATGGACTGTATGAGGGACTGTATGAGGGACATTGAACCTCCGTAATATTAGAGGGTTGCTCTGGAAGGAAAAGGTTGCGAAAGGCTGCTATGGACTGTATGAGGGACTGTATGAGGGACATTGAACCTCCGTAATATTAGAGGGTTGCTCTGGAAGGAAAAGGTTGCGAAAGGCTGCTATGGACTGTATGAGGGACTGTATGAGGGACATTGAACCTCCGTAATATTAGAGGGTTGCTCTGGAAGGAAAAGGTTGCGAAAGGCTGCTATAGACTGTATGAGGGACATTGAACCTCCGTTATATTAGAGGGTTGCTCTGGAAGGAAAAGGTTGCGAAAGGCTGCTATGGACTGTATGAGGGACTGTATGAGGGACATTGAACCTCCGTAATATTAGAGGGTTGCTCTGGAAGGAAAAGGTTGCGAAAGGCTGCTATAGACTGTATGAGGGACATTGAACCTCGGTTATATTAGAGGGTTGCTCTGGAAGTAAAAGGTTGCGAAAGCCTGCTATAGACTGTATGAGGGACTGTATGAGGGACATTGAACCTCCGTAATATTAGAGGGTTGCTCTGGAAGGAAAAGGTTGCGAAAGGCTGCTATAGACTGTATGAGGGACTGTATGAGGGACATTGAACCTCCGTTATATTAGAGGGTTGCTCTGGAAGAAATAGGTTGTGAAAGGCTGCTATGGACTGTATTAGAGACATTGAACCTCCAGGGATCTTGGGACATCTCACCACAGGCCACCCGGAGAGATGGGCGAAAGAAAGATGAAACATCAGTGGGCCAACCTTGTGAGACATCTGTGTACTTAGCAGCACTTAGCGAGGATGTATTGGCTTAATCATAACCACCACTGCTGCGACTCCAGCCACAGATGACACAAAGCATGGTACAGCAATGAAGAAAAAGCAAAAACCAGCACAGATTCCTAAATCGAAACAACATAACGCTTTGTTGCAAGCAAGAAGGAAACCAAAGAAGGAAATATTTGTTTAATGGGATTTAAAAGGAACACGTCCGAGAAAAAAAAGTTTGTATCTTTCTTTCCCTTGAACATTTTCTGACCAGCTCTGGCAATGAAGGCGAGCAAATTGCCGCTTTCTCATTAAAATGCAAATTATCCTGACCACTTCAAACACAAAACACCAGGGTAACATTACTGCCACGGGCAGCCATGACTGGGTGAACACTTACCATTCAGTCCATTAGGAATACTCCTGTGGTGGGATATGGTGGAAAGGTCATCTGCAGATCTCCTGATGGTCCCAGACTTGGTGTTCTCCACCGGTTTATGGTGATGGTGGTGGTGGTGGTGGTCAGGGCTCCCTGCGCTGCCTGTGCTGGAGGTGCTGCTGCCATCGCCTACATCCCTGGTACTAGAACCCCCGTTGAGGTTGGTGAGGCTGGTCTGGCTGTCGATTGAACTCCTGGAACCAGCTCCATTCCTTTCCTCGTCCAGCATGAGGACTATCTCCTTCAGCTCCAGGTTGTCCCTCAGGAGAGCCTCCTGCTTGGCCTCTAGCTCCTTTAGCTTCTGCTGATAAGCTCCCACCTCCTTCCATATTACACTAGCCGTGTGCCGGCCAAACCTCTGCCATTCCCTGGACAGCTTCTTGCCCTTCTGCCTGTCGTCGTCCAGGAAGCAGCAGAGTTCCCTGAGCTCCTGGTTGTCATCCTGAAGTTTCTGGTTGACCTCCTTCAAGCCCCTGATCTCATGCAGGTGAAGCTGCAGCCTCCTGTTCACATCCTTCATCAGATTGCCATGCTCCACCATCAAGTTCATCTTCTCGGTCTCCACTTTCCTCAGCTTCTTGATGAGGTCCTCCTTGCTCCACCTCAGCAGCTCCTCATCCGAGATCATGTTGAGCTCCTCCGCAGACCCTCCTTGGGCATGCTTGGCCATGGCAGGTGGTTAAAAATAAATAAATATAGGTATGCACAGCAAGGGTTGCCAATCAAGATCAAAGTCCCCTTCTGCCAACTAGCATCACTGTGCTGCTATACAACATATGCAATGCACAGCCAAGGTCCAGAGGTCTCATTCATTTCTGGTTGCAACTTCTGTGCAGAGGGACGAAGAGTCTTCAAGGGATGTTCCCCCCTAAAAAACATTTACTCCAAGGGGTTGTTTTCCTGTGTCATGGAAACAGAAGTCCCCTCTGTGTGGAGATATAATCCTTTAGCTCAGCCCAGGCTCCGATCTCTCAGCTCTGCTGTCTCCAGCTCATCTGAATCCACCCTCCCAGTCCTGCCCAGCCTCCAGAGCTGCCAGCTTTTTTTTTTTTTTTCCTCCTGGAGTATCGAGTTATTTGTTTTGGATACATTGTGCAAAACGAATCAACATATCAAAGAAAAAAGTAAAAGCCGCCCTCCTTGATTGATTATTGTGGTCATAATGTAAACGTTAAAGGCTAACTCCACCTTTTGCAAAAACAAAATTATAAAAAAAACGAAACCGCATTAATTTATTAATTGTTTGCATTGGAGCCCGCAAAGCATTGCCAGTGCGATCCGTGGATGGTGGGTGCAACGCACGGGCTCCTGCAGACTATTTCTCCCATTCTCAGGCCTGTACAGAGGTACGGGACGTTTGGTAGTTATTAGGGCTTGTTCACACCAATTGCAGACCAGATCTGCATGAGTTTCTGCACACGTAGTGCAGTGTGTTATACTGCGTCTTTTGCCGCGTTTTTTATGCGTTCCCATTGGACGCAGTTTTGATCCGTTCTGTAACTGCTCCGCTCCTGGAATGCGCTTGGTGTGAACTAGCCCTTAATGGACATGCGGCTTTAATATTTTTGGACCAGCACATTATATGACAACAAATGCGGCTGTAATATTTCTGGACCAGCACATTATATGAGAAGATATGCGGCTGTAATATTTCTGGACCAGCACATTATGTGAGAAGATATGCGGCTGTAATATTTCTGGACCTGCACATTATATGACAACAAATACGGCTGTAATATTTCTGGACCTGCACATTATATGACAACAAATGCGGCTGTAATATTTTTTGGACTCACATATGTGCAGTAGCCGGTGAGATTTCTGGACTTGCTGAGCCGATCAGCTGCTGACGACTTTCACATGCCCCCGGAAGTCCAGAAATCTAACAGGTCCAGACAATTTGCAGAACACCGGCTCTGTTTGGGTATTCCGATAGTGGCTGGCGGCGGCTGACAGCATACAATGACGGGGTTTCCTCGATGGACACGCTCGTCGTGTTGATGGAGGAATCTGCTCTATTTTTTTTGTTCAGCCTGCGGGTTGATCGAGGAAAGTAGAGCCGTGTATGGCCAGCCTTAAATATTGAACGATGAAGCGCACACAGAACCGATTGAAAATACAATCCATCAGAAGTGATCTATCAGTAAAACAATATTTTCATTGATCTGCTTTACAATTGGCTATCTGAGTCACATGCAGAAATGTGTTTGATTGATCAGAAATCAATAATCAATCAATAAAATTCGACCAAAGCCGATCAATTGAAAGCTCACTTCATTGATGGGATGGAGGGTTTGAGGTTCCTGACTCTGATTTCTTTTGATCATTTTAGTCGCATTGAATGATTATATTGATACACGTTTGGCCACCTTAACAGAGGTTTAATTAACCCCTTACCCTTCTCCTGGACTGAAATGGCTTCCTCTGATTTCACTGCACACTGCGAGCTTCTCACAACGTGCATTAGAAGCTGCAGCAAGTCAGATAGAGCCCGCCTCATTTCCTGGCTGGAGGATGTCCAGCATAATCTAGCTCTTTCCTCCACAGTGTGCCTGTCCCTTTTATTAATTGGATATCAGTTCTTTCAACCATGAGGGATCAGTAGGACATGTGGGCATTATCTAGGGCACTTTGCACGCAGATGCAGTCTGCTAGGAATGCCCACGCAGTCAGATTGGCACCCACCCATCAAGGCATTTTGAGATTTGCATAACTCCTCTCTCCTAAGCAGTGGCCTGGCTCTTGGAAGGAGTTTTACATATCTCAAAATTCCTTAAAGGAGAACTATGGGGTTAAGGCTTTTCCCCATAGTTCTCCTTAGGGTAACGAGAGGACACAAACTAGCGTCCTCTCGTCACCCTAGGCTCAGTATACCGCGAGCTGTAGCTCGCGCTATACTGAGACGCGGCAGCTGAAGCGGATCCCGACAATTGTGCAGGGATCCGCCCAGCTGCGTGACTGACAGCTGGCTCTGCCTATCTAGAGGCAGAGCCAGCTGTACCCGCCCCCTCCCCCGTCCATTCC